TGGGGGTAAACTCTTATCATTGTATTATCACGAAAACTTGGCCGAGCCATCGGCTAAACGTTCCAAACAGACGTCATTGACGTTTCGATAGACTTTTAAAAGTGTACTGAAAAGAAAATAAATTTCATTTTTTCAATTGTAAAAATTATACTGTTCGATAAACTGATTATTTACACCCCTCTTTTCCTTTACCGTGAACGTGCGACCCAACAATATAAACTTTAGAAAAAATCGGAATCATAATTGTACCAAATAACATTTTTGAAAATCAGCAAAAAAAAACAAACAGAAAAAATAATGGTACAACATCAATAATAAACGTGACAATACAATACTTAGGTTCACCCCCACTCTTCTCAGGGATAAATACAAAAAAATCGATCGTACAAAAAAAAACAGAATTGTAGGAAATTTAATTTTAAACAACTTTGTTTATAACAATTTTTCTCGTAAAATTGAAAATAAACGAGTTATTCTATAACCAAAAATTCACCCCCTCTTTTCGGGTATAAATCGAAAAAATCGATCGTACAAAAAAAAGCAGAATTGTAGGAAATTTAATTTTAAATAACTTTTGTAAAAACTATTTTCCGTGTAAAATTGAAAATAAATGAGTTATTCAAGATACAAAAAATAACCCTTTAAATCAAGATGGCGGAGGTAACGACAACTTTGGAATCCCAACTTTTTGAATTTAGACTACCAGAGACCCCCTCCAACGAATTCCGAAGGAAAATTGCTGCTTCGAATTTTTCAGAATCTAAAATACTAATCCGATTGGGCTAATATGCTATTTATTGTTTCGGCCTTTACTTGATGAAAATCCATTTAATCTTGAAAGAGTAAAACCAAATTTGGTAGATTTTCACACTTTTATTTTAAAAATATAAATTTTTTTAAAAACACTAACATGACATATGTTTCGAAGTACAACTTCTTTTTCAAATGTGACTATTTACAATTCGGTATCCAATATATATACGAAATAATTTAACAAAACAAAGTACTTAAGAAAAACATCAATAACATTACAAAATAAACTAACTATTTAAAGTAAATAAGTGTATTTAGGTAATTAAAATATCAATCAGATAACAATAAGATAGCACATTACCGGGATTATCTCATAGAAAACTAGGAAAGAGATTTAATAAGGGTGAATTATTAATATCTAATTGATCATTTAGTAAGTTATCTGAATTTTTAAATCTAGAGATCCTAAATAGAAAATAGATGGTAAAATATTGTAATGAAGTCAATTTTCATTATTATTATTATTATTATTATTATTATTATTATTATTAATTAATTCCGAGTATTAATTTCGATTTTCAATTAATTTCAACTTCGTGGATAGGCCCTGTATATCATCCGTATTACCACTGTTCGGAAGCATCGAGATACTCTGCCTGCGCGCGCGACCATGGTGGGATTTTCTGATGTGGAAGGGCATGCGACGACTGAACCAGGTTCGAGATTGAATTAAAAATTTCACTTGCTTTTACACCGTCAAATCTAATAGTCGAGTAATTAATACGATAGATACATTTCCGAAATTTATTTCAAGCCGCGATTTTACCGCTAGGTAAAGTTTGTTGTCATTTTTTTTTATAATTTTTTTTCTTGCCCGAGACTTTAAGCCGTGCTATTTGAAACCGATTTAATTTGATTTATTTTTAAATAACAATATTCCGTGTTGAGTTAGGAATTGGAATTTGTTTTGATTGAGAAATACTTTAATTTATTCTTGTTAGAATACACCGTTCGTTATAAATTTCATTTTAGTTTATTTAAAGTCTTAACCGTTAAACAGTTTATTTTTCATTCGATCGTAGATATAGTCGTATAGCTAATTTTTCTTACTACTAGAAATTTCCGCGAATAAATAATAAATTTAATTTTAGTTTATTTAAAGTTCTAACCGTTAAATAATTTATTTTTCATTTGATTGGAAATATAGTCGTATAGTTAATTTTTCCTACCACTGGAAATTTATGTGAATAAATTATAAATTTAATTTTAGTTTATTTGAAGTCTTACCCGTTAAATAATTTATTTTTCATTTAATCGTAAATATGGTCGTATAGTTAATTTTTCCTACTACTGGAAATTTCTGCGAATAAATAATAAATTTCATTTTAGTTTATTTAAAGTTCTAACCGTTAAATAATTTATTTTTCATTTGATTGTAAATATAGTCGTATAGTTAATTTTTCCTACTACTGGAAATTTATGTATATTTATGAATAATACAGTTTATTTAAAACATTATTCAATAAATAATTGATTGGAACTGTTTGGAAATTGTCTAATGTTTTGATTGGTTATATTTGTAGAATTGCAACGAGATGTTTTCTTTTGTTTTATCCTCCGAACTGCAAATTTTAAGAGAATTTAAATAGCATCATTCCCTGTCTGAAGCGGCTCGTGATTACGATCACTTCATCCAGAGATAAGGTGTTATCCCGGCTATTAGTTTATTTTATATCTCAAAAATTCATTTGCGTAGGTCTCCGTTATTTCAACAGAACTAAAATAGTATAATTCCTCTGTCTGAAGCGGCTCGTGATTACGATCGCCTCATTCAGAGATAATGTGCTATCCGGTCATTAGTTTATTTTCCGTCTGAAATCCTCATTTGCGTTAGTCTCCGTTATTGTAAGTGAACTCAAATAGTATCATTCCCCTGTCTGAAGCGGCTCGTGATTACGATCACTTCATTCAGAGGTAACGTGCTATTCCGGTTATTAAATTTATTTTGTGTAAAACTCCGTTATTTAATTGACATTAAATAGTATCATCATTCCCCAGTTTGAAGCGGCTCGTGATTACGATCGCTTCACTCAGAGATAATGTACTATCCCGGTTGTAAGTTGGTTTTACTTTCCAACCACTAGTGAGTAAACCTCTTATAGGGTCCCGGTTTTAGCCCTGGAATAAGTATTGTCCCGAACCTGTCTCCTCGCATTCTCTGCAACCGCATATGATATTTTGCTTTACTGAAGCATTCAATTACATTTGATTGTAAATACCGATTAGACAATTTAACAGTTAATTTTTGCTACGACCAAAATAATACTTCCGAACGAAATAGCAAGTTACATTTTTAACTTAACAACAGAATAGACAATTCAATAATAAACTTTTACTGCGACCGTGATAATTACAAGTATTGATTTCATTTTTTTTCTTTACGTCTGATTAAGACTACTCGAAAGTCATTTCCGTCCGTTTTGTTTATTTATTTTTGTTCAGGGTTTGTACGTTTTACCGTGAGGGTGGGCGTTGAAATACATGAATTTATTCCTTTTCTTTTGTAAATACTTTAAAATAATATATTTGTCAATGTTAACTGGCCGTATTACTGGTTGTTAATTCCTTAATTTATTTCCCTCTTATATTTTAGCTAGTGATTAATTCTGTACCAGCCCAAGCAACGATTAAAGCCCGTTACTTGTGGCCTACTATTGCCTGTGTCTAAGTGACCTTTGACCCCTGGAATTTTTCATCTCTATCTGTAGCTACCCGAGTACTTTCGACGCCGTTTCGAAAGTTCGTGGAGTAAACCATCACCAAAAATCTGGCGCTCGAGAACCGCCCGTAACCAGCGTCATTCGTAAGGAATCCTTTTCTCTGTGGCGAGAAAACCCCTTACAATATCTATGATTTTACATTGCTCAGAAGGAGACCGATAATTATTATCATTCTGTAATAAACTGGTAAAAGCTTTTACAAAAAAAATCATTAGAAGAATTTGATATGAGACAGGAATCATAAATTTTCTCGTTATTAATAAAAATATCTCAGATTTCAGCAGAATTTCGCGACTTATTATTTAAGTAATCAATGATTACTAATCATTAATAATTGACCAAACCGCTTTTGATTTGTTAGAGGCAAAGAAGTAAGTATACTCGGTCATTTTCTATTCTTTTGGCAGCTACACAGACTTTTCTATAAATCTTTTTATATCTACGCTAATAATTTTCATGAATTCGAGGCTACTTTAAGGCGATATAGAAATTTTAGTTTTTCTGAAGAAATACGTATACTATTTGTAATCCAGTTAGATTTGTATTATTTTTCGCTTTTTTCCTATATGAATATTCACCCTGTAGTATGCATTATTCATACTAACTCGCACAAATCACAAAGATAAAACAAAAAACGTTATCACTGTATGACTAATATACCCTGGAATCGCCGATATTTATTCATTGCATTGATTGGTAATTTAGATCGCGCTGGGCTACTAATGAAGGGAGGGTGGGAGAATAATCATTACGGACAACAGCTCAAATAATTTAGATCGATCATCCTTACCAGGTAAGTCGATCAATCTATTAATTATTTTTCGCTGTTGTCCTATATGATTATTCACCCTGTAGACGTTTAAAGAAAACACGCGCGATCTAAGCAAAACCAATTTATAATAACTGTTCCTAAATATAATCTATAATAATATACAATTTTGTTATTGCCTTTTTTCGAAAAGATCACCTCAAAATACATAGAATCCATTTTGTTTCATCTAATAACAATTTAATCTAAGCTCAAAACCCGTAATTTAATTCGATTAATAGTTTTTGTTTGGATCTGTAGAAGTTAATTTTTTATAGCCACAAAGTCAGATTGAGATCCAACAAATATTTACTTAATCAACAGAATATCAATAACAGCGTTATTGTTTGGACCTAGATCTATAGAGACATCAGTACAATTGTCAAATAACATTGTTTTTAATTTTTATTTAATGCACTTCCTATATGTCTACTTTCACTGTCAACTATAATTTTTGTATCCCTCAGTTTATAGCAAACCATTTTTTTTTTTTTAATAGAAGTGTGTGAAAATCTACCATGTTTGGTTTTTCTCATTTTTATATTAATTTATTCTATATCAGTCCAAAATAATAATTGTAATAAATAACAAGTTCTTTATTCTATAGTAAAAAATTATCCAATATTCAGATACTCAATGAAAAATATCTTTTGTTTCAGATCCTTACGTCAAAGTGTACTTGCTATGCCAAGGCAAGAGAATAAGAAAAAAGAAGACAAGCGTGAAATACAATACATTGTGCCCTGTATATAACGAGGCACTGGTTTTTGATGTCCCAGAGGAAAATATAAACGACGTTTCCCTTGTGGTGAAGGTTATTGATTATGACAGGTAATCAGATCTTTAAAATTTATTATCATAGTCGTATATACACGCGATAAGGAGGATTATGCTAAGGTAATAATGTGACATGGTCAGGGACATTACCTTAAATAGCATGGTTAGTTTTAAGGAAATTATAGATTAGGGTTTAATTAAATAAAGCCCCAATTAAGGTCAAACAATAAGTATGGTTGATGTAATATCGCTAATTACTGTAGGAACTACAATTATTATTATAGTTTCGACGTAATTAAGGTTCTCGATTGAATGCTCAATCAAAAGTGTGTTTAACAGGTTATTTTACATTGAAGCCGGTATTATTGTCATAAACAAAATTAATTGTACAGGAAGATCTCTATTTACATTATGTTAAGTTTACAACAATGACGCCAGTAGAACGGTATAGAATAAGCGATGGCATTGATTAGATAGAGATAGAGAGTGCACGTCAGCTCGCTAGTGGTAGGGGCATCCATATGTCCAATAACAACAGGCGGTCAGCTGTTTCTCGAGAGACCCTTTTTATTTTTTTTTTGCTCACGTGCAAATATAATTAAGCGTCTCATCTCTATTTAGAAGGATCCATGAGTTTACACATTGTATATAACGATACATTTTATAAAATACATTACAGTTTGCTTTGTATGTTTTCAGAGAAATAATAATGCTTTGTGGATAGGGTCCGATTACAATTAGAAGAACACAGCTACGTCATAACCATTACTTCGAATTTCTAATGCATATTATCTATAACTTTCAATAAACAATAATTAAGTACGTTGTTAGGTGTAAAACAATATTTCGTATATTTATATAATATTAACACTCCCCTAAACCCCTATTAGGCAGTGATAACCAATTATTTACGTTACCAAATAATGACGTAGCTGTGTTCTTCTAATTGTAATCGAACCCTACCATTTTTTTTATTAATCAATCGCGTCATGAAAATTATTAATAATTCAGCATTTGTTTATTTTAAAAACATTTTATCCATTTAAAAAAGTTTATAATTTATGTACATATACATAAATTATTTATTTAGACTTAAATACTTAGCTGACTTATATTTCACAGTTGTAATTTTTATAACAATTCAAAGTCTATTTATAAACTTAACTTCTTTCGACAAAGTCGCGCTACTTATACAAAAATGCTGCGCACCGCACTGTTCTTAAAACATTTCAAGTATTTCTCAAACTAACTAAATGAGTTCTGGCAACTTTCTAGAAGTTTTTAAATATTCAAGACGGTACCGGTAAGTTTTTTAAACGGTGACATCTAGCAAATGTAAAGAAATGTTGTCTCCAATGTTTTAAAGAGTATTGAAGTGTAAGGTAAGGTGGGGCAGGTTTGGTCATGGGGCACCTCCGGACAAGTCAAATTTACCGCCTTATAGTGCTATATTGACAGTACAATATCCTTCTACACTAGTAGTTCTATGGTACTTAAATCTTGAGCGACTTCGATTACTCAGGTACAATTTATTTGAGAAAATTCATAAACAGAGTTGTTCTTATAAATTTCAATAGAAATATCGTAAGCTCTCTCGACTCAAGAATCTCAGTAAGGTAAGTTTTTTCCTATATACCATACCGTAGATATTATAATGTTTATCGATACATAACCTCATAAAACGGCATATATAAACCATGTGCGGATTTCTATTTTGTCATTTATTTATTTTTGAAACATGAAGTACATTCGGACAAATCGAGTGGGGCAGCTTTGGACTGTCCGAATATGCCCCATCTAACAAATATAATATACCGTTACAAAAAATTAATTGATTTTACTTTTTAGAATGGTGCGTAACTACATTAAAAAGAGAAATCGCCCTGATATTCCGAAAGATGATTTAAAAAAGCTATTAAAGCCGTGGTCAATCGTCAAATGTCGATTCACATGGCTGCAAGTACTTTTAATATGTTAAAGTCAACTCTTTTGTAAAAAAGCAAAAAGAAAAATTTGACTGACTCGGGAAATGAAAGCAGTAGTTCAGATGAGAATGAATCTTCTTTATCGAAGTACGCTACCCGTCAAATATTGTCTCCAGGAGAGAAAAAGTAGTTGGAAATTTACCTAAAACAATCTTCAAAAATATTTTATGGGCTAGGCTGACTTACAGGTCTACGCGGCAGTTGGCATAATGAATATGCAAGTAAGTTGGGCAAGAAAATTCCAGATAGTTGAAACGAAAATAATATGGCTGGGATGGAGTGGATGCGATCATTCATGAGCCGTCACCCGAGACTTTCCTAGTGCAAGCCAGAAAATACCAGCATTGCACGAGCAGCAGCTTTCAACAAAGCCAATGCTACTTCGTTTTGTAGGAATTATGCAGAAGTTCAAGCAAAATATAATTTTCCCCCTAGTCGCATTTGGAATACCGACGAAAGTGGAGTTACAACCGTTCTTCAGGCTCCTAAAGTTATTGCCGAAACAGGGACAGAAGAAGTGGGCCAGTGAGTTTCACCTGAAAGGGGCGTATTAGTTACAATGTGTTGCTTCATTTCTGCTGTGGGAAATACAATTCATCCAGCATATGTATTCCCTCGTGTACGTATAAAAGAGCAGTTAATGTATGGTTCAGTTTCTGGGACAATAGGCTTTGCTGAGAAGTCGGGGTGGATGTCTTCAAACATTTTTCTCCAGTTATTGGAAGATATTCAAAAACCAACTGGTTGTATTCAAACAAATCCAATTCTTTTGTTGTTCGATAACCATGAAACACACAGATCACTCGGGGTCATAGACTATTGTCGTGAGAATGGTATAGTCCTACTGTCATTTCCACCCCATTGCACCCACAAGATGCAACCTCTTAACAGGTTCATTTACGGCCTATTTAAAGATGTAGTTTGCCTTTAACGACTATATCATTTCAAATCCTGGAAAATGAATTGGAATTTATGACATCGCTAAACTCACTGCAGATCCTTATTTGCAAAGTTTTACACCTAAAAACATTATAAGCAGCTACTCCAGTACTGGCTTAAGGCCTATTAATTTCATGATTTTTAAAGATGACGATTTCATGGGGTCCTTCGCCACAGATCGGTCAGACCCTAAAATAAGAATGAAAGAGTGTGAACTGTCATCAACTTCTATTACATCGAACAACTCTTTTACTGCGTCCATCAGCATGAGCACTAGCAATGTGGCCGATTATGAAATTGACGAAGTGACCATGATGATAAGAACTATGTTGAATGACATATTAAATCGCGTTACAAAACAGAAAAGTAAAATATTATACGTCGACAACATTGGACCATTACGAAAGGCAGCCCCCAGAAGAACAGATGGAAAGTCTCAACTAGGTAAATTTAGAATGTATACAAGCACACCGGTGAATGAAAGAATTCAAGAATTGGAAACAATGAGAACAAAAATTGGAGAAAAAAACACGAAAAAAATGTATTACGAAGCAAATGTGAAGTGAAGAAAAAAAAACAAAAGTTGAAGAGAAATGCAAAGGGAAGACAACGAAGAAAAAGTTGATGTAAATTTACCACAGAATGTTGTTTATGAGACAAATTTTTTTGACGATCTGTCCGATTCTCTGGACGAGTTTCAAGACAATGACGATGTACTCATGCTATTGTATGATGACGTAATCCATCGTAATGATTATTTGCTTGTCAAATATCCGACCAACAAAAGGATACTTTAATTTTTTGAGAGAAAGTATAAAAGCGGTTTCCGCTTTCCGGACTGTTTACAGAAATGATTTAGATTCAAAAATACCCAATCCCGAGGCAGCACCAGGGACTTCCAGGATGTGTTCAATAATTTTGTTCTAATATACAGTCTTTTATTCCTCTTCAAAAAAATAGGTTCTGAATTTTGTTAGACTTGTCCGAATGTACCCCACAACTTGATCGCAGATTCGGACAAATGCATATTTTTCGGAAAAATGTAAATGAACGGAAACCATTGCATTTTTTTGCTTGAGATAATGCCAAAATATTAGAAATACACTAAGGTATCCGTAGCACCACAATTAGGTTCAAAATTTTCTCTTAACTTTGAAATATTAATGTTTGAAAAAACATGTCCGAACCTGCCCCACCTTACTCTAACAGTTATAAAACATATCGCCCATCTCTAGGCCTATATATTGTTTACTTTTGGTGTAAATGACAAGAAATAATAATGTTAAAATTATCAAATATTTTTACAAATTAAAATAAAAGGAAAATAGAAAATCTCTAAATCCCTGTCACACCAAAGTTGAGCGACCGTTTCCCTCCTAAAAACAACTACTACCTTGGCTAATACCGCAACAGGCAGCACATTATATCAAGAGCAAAATAGTTATTTTATACCTGGAATTACTTTACTATTTAAGTAATTGGGTTTTATATTACGTCCAAGTTTAAAAAGGTATTTGGTTAAGAAAAATATGTATGAGCATCGGCAATCGATATGGTATTGTAGGTGACTACGGTACTCGCATTCATATGCGAGCAAATTTTATGGTAGAGAGATACCGGGCTTCGAATCCCACAGAAGACCATGTGAATTTATTTGCATGGTTCTCTATAGGATTTTATGGATGCCATATTAGAAGAAATTTAATTTTTGTTGATATCACATCCAGATTATAAAAATCGCCATGCGTTACCGTTTCGATGATGGTGGATGGGATTTTCCGGATTTTCCTGTTAGTCAAATGGTGCCATCAATTATCTTTGGCGAAAGTCGCCCCGGAGCGCCAAGGAAAATAATAATAGCCGCCACTTGCCCTACATACGTCGCTTAGTCGGTTTCAGGGATTGAAATTCACTCATAAGGAGGTGCATTAGGGAGAGTATTATTAATAATATTTAAAAAATAATGTCAATTTAATGTTAATTCTCCATTAAAGCTGTCGGTTTTTTTTTTAATATTTAATATACTTTCATAAACATTTTCATTACGAAACGGGCCACTTTAAGAAAACATTTATACTAATCCAATGCTAGCTGAACAAATTCTATTTGTACATACAAAGTATCTTTTAAATAGTATTTTCATTGTAAAGGATAATATTAAAATTATACAAGAAAAGTAACAAACTATTTTTGCTAACTCTGACATATCATGCGACATTTTTTGTAATTGCAAAAAGTGTTAAAAGGATCTATTTTATGTAACAAGTAACATTATGTAACTGGTCATAAAATAGCTATTTATGAAACCATTCATGTTGCAATACCTCACTCTGCTCGTTTCGCAAATATTCACTTGTTACATAAAATAAGGCATTTCGTAACAGGTTACATACAATATTTTTTTCTAATTTTGACTGAATTATTTAAACAACTGTGTTTTGGTAAAACATTACTGACATATAGACAACCAATATTACTTTCTTGTATTGTTAGTTGCATATGCATGATTTAAAGAAAATTAAAATATAAAATACTAATTATTTATTGTTAATGACTTGTGTTTTTATACAGGGTGATCAACTTATACTCCGTTGTTTTAAGGGATACGAACAAAAGTTTTATATACAAATTATAGATTTCAAAATTGTTTCGTAATATACAGGGTTTATTTAGGGAATGCTTAATAAAAGTAAAGATATTTTGTAAGTAGTTTATAAAAATGATATAAGATAAGGGGTGTTCCATTTGAAATAACCGAGAAAATCATGGTCCTGAGTTTTGGGTTAACCTGTTGCAATAAAACTAGGCTACTACCAAATTGTTCTGGCCTTGAGATATTAACCCTCAATTGTTGATTCTAAATAATACAGGGTGACAATTTCATTAAGATTTTCATATAAAAGTGGCCATTTCTTTAAAAGTACCCTGTAGAACCTGATAAAACCCTAAATTGTCGGATTGGGGGAAATGAGCAAAATTCAAATTCGAGATAACATATAGGGTGTTTCACTAAAAAAACATAACTTTGGTATGCTGTGACTTTATGAAACATCCTGTATATTACAAAATAATTTTAAAATGTGAAGCTGAACTCTATGTATAATTTGTATTTAAAACTTTTGTTCGTATCCCTCAAAACAACGGAGATATTAAACTCCGGAGTACAAGTTGATCACCCTGTATGGGCAACCAATATTACATTCTTGTATTGTTAGTTGCACATGCATTATAATAATAAAATTAAAATATAAAATCATTGTAAATGACTTGTGTTTTTATATTGCTTATTAGAGTTATTACTTAGTTTTCAAGAAAGTGGGTTATTTTGTCGTGTATTGTGTTTTAATTATTTTTTGCTGATTTAGAATAAAAATAAGGACCAAAACAATAATATTACTAGGTTATAAGTTTAATTAAATTCTATTTTTGTAAGTAAACCTGCTCTTTTTTGATATAAAGTTTCAACAATAATGTATATTATTGATTTCAAAATCAAAAAGGTATATTTTTATTTCTTCTCGTAACTGGTGACATAATGCATTTTTTGAAACCTTTTTCATAATCTTAAACATTATGCAACTGGATGCGTAAAGTAGATCATGTTGATACTTGTCGCGTTTACAGAAAATGTCAAAATAAGAAAAAGTTCAATGTCACCACTTGCGAAAAGAAAACATAAAAATAAATCGTTTGTGTTTTTAAAGTCAGGAAGATTGGCTATATAAATATAGATTTTGCTAGTGAACTTACTGTTAGTAATATTTATGTTTTGGTCCATATATTTTCCATCCAGAATCTGCACAAAATAATCAAAACACTGTTTCACTTAATACACGACAAAATAACCCACTTTCTTAAAAATTACAAGCTCTAACAAGCATAAAGACTACCCGCAACAAGTGGTTGAGAATAATTATACGATTTTCTAAATATTCCAAGCTCTGCAATGTAACAATGTAAACCAGAGTAATATCAGTTGCACAGATATACAATTTTATTTAAAATTTTTCAAGTGACCGAAAGCTTACATTAATATTTTATTTTAATAAATATTTGACATATTCGTTTTCTAAAGTCTTTGACTGGTAGTACAAAAAATTAATAAATAATCATTTCAAATTGAAAAAAATATGTAACACATTACATAAGTAATCCGATTTTTTTAGCCACATCTCGAGAAAATATTAATTTAAAACTAACCAAAACTCTACACTAATTCAATTATTAAATAAGCGATTCTCTTGCACCAACATTAACTGAAATTACATTCAATTTCCATCGATTTTGGCAATAATGTGAAAATGAAACATTGGTTAGAATGTTTATCACGAAATTTGATCGTATTATTTGATATCGCGATTCAAATGAGTTTAATTAAAATGCCATCCACAGATCCACAGATTTATCATTTGTTATAAATTGCCATTTAATTTCTCAAATTTACGGTCCCGTCCTAAAAACAAAATTTTAATTAGACGGTCTATTTTTAGAATTGGTCTAAACGAACTGATGGGTTGTATTATAATTGGTCCAACTTTTATTGGGAAAGGTCGGGATCACTGGACGGAAATGTTAGACAATCCACGTAGACCCGTAGCACAATGGTATCCACTAGTTGAATCAATTCCAGCAAATGTCCCTCCGCTTAAGGATGGATCTATAAGTCTTAGTTGTTTGAACAGTAGGTAAGCTTAATCGTCGTTTCTATATTTTTTGTTATTATTATACTTGTTGTTTCTACAAATACCTATTAGGTATTTGGGAAATCGAATTAATTATATGGATAGAATATAAAAAAGGGAATATTTTAGCAATTGACTTTATTATACAATTTTTAATACTTCACCATGACAATTCTCGATTTTTTATTACAGTATGAGCCAATATACTCATCCTGTAAACTAAATGCACATTAATAAATTATAACAATACTCGTATTATACAGGGTGTCTGTAAAAAGTCTTTACAAAAACATACCACATATTTCTTAGACCAAAATAAGTCGATTTAAGTAAAATTACCTTAGTACAAAGTTGCTTCGTTTGGGCTCCAGAGGGCCTTGAAATTACAATTTTTAAATCGTTTTTGCCATATAAATTTAAAACGGCATATGCGATTTTGCTGAAATTTGGTATATTGGTAGAGTTTTATTTGGCAAAAAAAATGGTATTAAAATTTTGTCCGATGATGATACATAGGCGTAGAACTTGATTTTTTAAATAATTGCACCTTTAAAAATTCTACGCCAATGGAAGAAAAGGAGTTTGAGTATAAAACTATGATTGCGCAACTCATTTACTTTAAAAAAGGTACTCTTGATAAGACTCGATTACTCTCATGGTTTTCGCTAAATTTCTGTTTTAATAATTTAGAGTGTATAGGTTTCACAAAAATATTTATTTACAACATAATCAAAATAGAGATTTTACAAAAATTGTTCAAAATGTTCATCATTCAAAGATTTATACGTCGAAGAAAATTAAAATGTATCCTTTCCATAACTTCTTCATCATCTCTAAGATTGTTTATTGCATCTTGAATACGTTGCCAGAGTTGTTCCTCATTTTCTACAGGTTCCCTGTAAACTGTGGATTTCAGATGTCCCCATTAAAAATAATCCATCTGTGTTAGGTCTGGGGAACGTGGTGGCCAGTTTACAGGTGCGTCATTACCTCTGCCTATCCATTTGTGTGGATATTGTTCATTCAAGTGGTTTCTAACGTTTAAATAAAAATATGGTGGAGCCCCATCTTGCATATACCACATATCTCTCCGAAGTTGGAGAGGTAAATCTTCTAACAATTCTGGCAACGTATTTTGTAGAAACTTCAAATAATTTTCTCCAGTTAATCTTCGTGGAAGTATGACAGGACCAACAATGAAATTACCAATTATTCCAGCCCACACATTAATTTTGAATACGTGCTGAAAATGGTTTACCTTTATTGCATGCGGATTTTCAACGGCATAAACATGTTCATTATGGGTATTAGTTATACCACTTCTTGTAAAACCCGCTTCATCGGTAAAGAGAACCTTCTTGACAAAGTTTGGATCTCTTTCTCTTTGCATATTAACAAGTCGACAAAAACCCAAACGAATTTGAGGATCATGGACTAATAATTCTTGTACTGGCTTCTTATGGTGTGGATATAGCAATTGTTCTCCAAGCACTTTATGAACGACATCTTTACTTACTCCTAGTTCCCTTCCAATTCGTCTGGTGCTTAATTCTGGATCTTCTTCAACACGTTCTAAAATGTCTTCTTCAACTTCAGGAATCCTTACAAAACGTTCTCTTCCATTATCAATAGTGTTGATACGTCTCTCAACAGCAGCAAAAGTTGGGTGGCTAGGTAAACGATGATTTGGAAACCTTTCAGGGTACACCCTGACACTCTCTCGAGCATTGGTATATTGTACAGCCATATTATTAAACCACGCTTTTGTTTTTTTAATTATTGAGTCAGATAGAACACTTTCAATCGTTAACAAGAGATTAGGTGTTAAAACTTGACACTATTTTTATTTAGATGAAACTATCGAAACCAACAATAAATGTTTTTGTATACGTATTGCAGGCAAATAATTAATATTCCTCAAAAAATCGTACATGGCAAGAATCGAGTATTTTTGTTAAAAGTCTCGATTAGAGGTGTTGAAGAAGATATGAAAAAGTACATTTTTATGTTTTTCATCGTATAAAATTTTGTCCGATAATAATACCTAGGCGTAGAACTTGATTTTTTAAATAATTGCACCTTTAAAAATTCTACGCCAATGGCAAAAAAGGGGTTGGAGTATGAAATTTGGATTGGGTACTCATTTACTACAAAAAAGTACCCTTGATAACACTCGATTTACTCTCATGGTTTTGACAAAGTTTGTATTTTAATAATTATTGTTTATGTTCTAAAATTACTAAAATGCAAATTTCGTCAAAACCATGAGAGTAATCGAGTCTTATCAAGAGTATCTTTTTTAAAGTAAATGAGTTGCGCAATCTAAATTTCATACTCAAACTCTTTTTCTTCCATTGGCGTAGAATTTTTAAAGGTGCAATTATTTAAAAAATCAAGTTCTACGCCTATGTATTATTATCGGACAAAATTTTATTACCATTTTTTTGCCACATAAAACTCTACCAATATACCAAATTTCAGCAAAATCGCATATGCCGTTTTAAATTTATATGGGAAAAACGATTTAAAAATTTCAAGGCCCTCTGGAGACCAAACGAAGTAACTTTGTACAGAGGTAATTTTACTTAAATCGACTTATTTTGGTCTAAGGAATATGTGGTATGTTGTTGTAAAGACCTTTTACAGACACCCTGTATAATTTTAACTGGTAAAAACACTTTTTTCTATACCCTCCACAAGACTGCATGATTCTGTCCACAGTACGGCACCATACGATGCTTTTTTTAATTAATATAAAGCGTTTTGTAGCCATTTAATAATTTTTAACTGTGTTATGATACTGAGTTTAATCAAACACATTTTTTTAGGTGAAGGAATACTGTTGCTGATATCACCTGAAATAATTGATATAAATATAAATCAACATTTTGCTTGTTTAATGGGAAATCGAATGCAGATCGTAATTTTTCCTGAAACGCCCGGAACCATACGAGCCAACCAGAATATATCTCACGTGCAGGAACTTGCATATTGATTCAAATTATGTATGTGATCATTATTAAATAATTTTGTACTGTAGGTTAACAATATTGGATGTAAGCTCTAGTTGTAAGAAGGAACGATGTTGTGGATAAAAGTAAATTGATATTACGCAAAAAATATCGTTAAATTTAAAATAAAAAAGCAAATATCTAGAATACGATAAATGTATTTGAGACAATTAGATTTAGGTGCACTTCTTTACATTTTATTATTTTCTGTAAAAAGTTTATTAATATTTTTGTCCATATCAGTTTTTTTAAGCTGTTTTTAGAATTATAAAATTGATGTTGAAAATTTACCTAAAAATACGGGGTGTTGTACTTAAAAGACTAGGTATTTACCAATGATTCTGATAAATTTAAGATTGAAGAAAATTCGCGAGTTACGAGTAGATTTTGATAAAAATATACAAAATTTTCTATCCTGCATTAATGTTGTTTATTTAATTATGAAAGCAGTGACATATCAATACCAAATTTTACTCTCCCGTATAAAATAAATAATCTATTAGAGTAAGAAAGATATTGTGATTTTGTATAATTAAAAAAAGGTAGAGAACATTGCAAGGCATTTAATTTGATTAAGCTCGTACTATATTGCTATTATCGTTAGTCGATGGATAAATAAGAAGAAAATGTAAGATACTGTGTTCATTCTATTTAAAAGGTTTGCTCAATATTTCAACTCCTGCCATTTTTTCAATTTCTTTTTTTTTTTTTTTTAAACGTGGTACTCTTACTCTCGCTAGATCAGAATAAATTTTTTTTCTATATACATTATATACTTTTCTAAAAGTTTAAAACATAACATGGTTACGTTGACGATAAGGTTAAAATACCTTAGTTTAAAGTTTAATTTTGGACTAGTGAGAGAGTTTACGTCTGTTTCATAATCGAAATAAAGGTATTTAAAATATATAAAATGGTAATCAAACCAGGAAGACTAACTTCAATTATTTAGGATCATATTATTGTTTGGAAAAATGTACTTAGGACTGAGTAGGATTTCTTTAAAAATATTCACATCTAATATTATTGGTAAAGTAATATAAAAATATCTTATTTTTTCCAATAACTTTTGAGAGAATATTTCAAAAATGTTTACAAAATTTATTTTAGAAAATACACACCTTTGGCTGTCGTTTTCATATGTTGTAAAAATTATACATATTCCTGTGTAGTATACAGGGTGTTACAGAATGTTGTGAAGAAAATTTAATGGCCGAATTAGAGTAATTCTACGGTTTTGAATACACACAATTTCGGTGCTCTTTTATATTTATTCGTAGATCTAGACGTTATATATGTTTATAAGTTATCAAAACTGTTTTTTTATAAACAAATCGAGTGCGTGTATGGCGACTGAGTAATAAAATAAAAAGTTTAAAGAAAGTGTAAGTTAAACAAAAACCTAATATCATCTAGTTATTGCCTTTAAAAGTCAACTATGCTTTCTATGGGGTCTATTCTGTAACAATTCCTTTATATTTAACGGCCTTTAAAATTATTTTCTTCTTTACTTCTGTCATTATTTAAACGGATCTTTAAAATACATTAGAGGACTATCTTAATGAAATCTGTTTAAATAATGACAGAAGTAAATTAACGAATACGAACATATTTTTATAGGCCGCCAATATTTTTAAAGGCCGTTAAATATAAAGGAATTGTTACAGAATAGACTCCTATAGCTGTGCGTATTGTATGAAATCAGTGGCTCATCGCGGTTTAACTCTACAGTTGCCAAATTTACTTTAAGAAACAATAAAAAAGCTGCTAGAAAATATAAACATCAACTGGATTACTATAATAAACGATAATCAGTAATACCTCCTGGACTTACATAAGTAATTTAAGAACCAAACAAACAATGGCGAAGACAACAACCATCAAATATGTCAACGAACTGCCCAAAATTGTTACATTTCACCAATAACAGCTCTTCTCCATCCTATCTCGTTAACTGATTTCTCTTATACACTAATTTATGTTCTATTCATGCTAGATATAATGAATTTATGTGCACTGTTCATCTTCTTAAACCTGACATAATTCTTATCAGTTAAACCTGGTTAAATACCTCAACTCCCGACTCACTAGTTGGTATCGAGGGATACACAATCTTTCGCAGCGACCAAAAAAACCGAATTGGTGGTGACGCATTTAGCTATCAAAAAATATTGTTAATATTTTCTCTTTATCTTCTGTAAACATAAAAATCAGTAATATAGATATAATATGTATAAAAATTACCAAACATTCTATCTCCATATTTATCGACCCGGTAACACTCCTTTAAACGACACCATCACGTTCCTATCAAAACTTGAAGATTTATATTTTCTTGATAACACAATTATTATTGGAATTCTTCACTTTTGCTGATATTTTCTGGCCCATTATAAATGTTGTTCCCATTGGCAAATATAATAATATTTTTATGAACTTTTTTCAAAATTCCAACCTATCTCAACTGATGCTTAAACCAACACGCTTCCGAATCAATAATGATCCTTCAACACTCGACCTTATCTTTACAAAGGACACACAATTATTGCCCTCCCTGAAGGTTAATACTCCTATTGAAAAATCCGATCACGCAATAATAACGGCACACATATAATTACCTTTACCTAGATCCGAAGACAATGTGTCAACGTTAGAGATCATTGAAGATAGATCATTCGCTTGCAATTACTGATTGGGATAACTTACTGCTGAACTCTAACGATTGTCCATCTATGTGGAACTAAATTCAAAACATCACTACACAAATTCTCTCAGAAAATACTAATAAACGAAGAGTTTATAGGAACAAATTAAAACTCTGAATCACTTGGGAACTACTCGAAATAATGAAATAAACGGAATCTATGGAGAAGTTAAAAAAACACACAAGACAACGACGATTTCATCTGCCACAGAAGATTTTCCAATCAGCTCCAGCGGCAACTATCTTTTACGAGACAGTCTTACGAAGAATCAATCGCTAAACAATACTAAAAAAATCTATAAATACATCCGTTCTTCTCTTTCCTTTTAAGTGGCCAATGTATATATTTAGTTTATCCTCTAAACATTTATAGAGATGCTGCAATAGGTTGTACAAAATAACCGGAAAAAGCCTATAATAACTAGATAGGAAAGTCATGTGTTGGACACATCAGATTTTTATCCTCCAATTACTGATTCATGTAAGAAGTGTGATCTGTTCGATATTCAAATAAAAGCAACCGATGAAGATAAAAGAAGGCAACTCGAAATTGAAAAAGAATTACACCAGCGAAAGGCTAAGAGTGCTAGAGATGGCCTAAGAAATGAAACTGAATTGGCAAAAAGAAGTAGTGAAACTGCAGTTATTTGCTTCAATTTGATGAAGTCTCTACCTAAAACCTGTACTGACTACAGGATTCTGTTATTACATTCACAACATGGGCACTAACAACTCATTCATGTTTGTATGGGATGAAACCGTTGCCTCTAGAGGTCTTCAGGAAGTAGGATCTTGCATCATATATTACATAACAAATTTCGTTTATTCAAAAGAACTTATTATGTATTCTGACTAATGAGGAGGTCAGAATCGCAATATAAAAATGTCAGTGTTATGTAATTACATAACAGCTTCATCAGATTACAGCGTGAAAGAAATAGATCACAAATTCTTGGTAAGTGGTCATTCGTTCTTACCCTGTGACGAAGATTTTGGAATTATAGAAAAAGAAAGAAGATTTCGCTGAAACTGCAAAAAGAAAATTTCAAAACAAGAACGAGACAACATTTTCAGAGTAACAGAATCTTCGAAGTCTGAAACAACCTGCCCCAAGAAATTATAGATTACCAAAGTGTCAACATTAACAAAAACAATATAGACAGGCATATTTTTCGCAATTATAATTAACTTATAAATTGACATATTTTTGGATTTATTGCTAGAATAATTATTTGAACTCATATTAGCATTTACACTCATTTTTGGATTTAATTTTGGAACTGTTTTTGTATTTGGTGTCGAAATAAGTTTTTAGATTTGGTTTCGAAATAAGTTTTTAGATTTATTTTAAAATAATTTTTAGATTTAATAATTTTAACCATAGGCTAATTAATTTGTTCTTTTTTACTGGGCACAATAGTACGCCGTCCTTTGCCCTTATTGTAATTATAATAATAATCTTAACATATGAAAAAAAAATTTAAACATGGGTCCGGAAATGCTTCGTTTTTAATATTTTATTTTACATTTATTGATAACCCGTTGATTGAAATAAGTTTTGGTACACGCAAATGTATCATAAAAGGTCACATCTATATGTACAAATTACACTGGTTTACAAAAAAAAAGTCTTGATTATTTGACCAGACCATGGTATTCCTAGGTATTTTGGTGTCCTGAATGCAATCCCGGGGTCAGTTTCTCCCCATCACGTCAGGCAAACCAGATTTCAAGGTCATTTAGAGGTCAAAATAGTGATTTTTTGGAACTGGCTCCGGAACAATTTCTCAAGCGACCTGTTAGGTTGAGGAGTAACTGTGTAGGTCTTGAATACCTTTCAAACATTAGAAACGGTCCCCAAATCTCGATCAGGACCAGCGCAGGGCCAGCCATGTAAATAAAATGTTGTCATGATCGTTGTATCTCGCGAATTTCGATCTCCCTGCCAAGGTGTTCAATTTCGGCGATCCATTTGCTATAATATAATGCCAGTGGATCCAGCACTGACCCAAATGGCCCTAGAACCTTGCCAGAACATTGGAGTTATGCTCAAGTGGTTCAACGTATTCGAATTTGGCTTCTCTTGCCTGTACGTAGAATTTTGGCGATTGAGTTACCATCGTCAGTTAATGACAGCACTTCTCAAAGTGCTCCTAGAACATCGTCCAAAAATTGGGTGAAGCTAAGTATACTGTCCGGGGCAAACTAAGGTTGCAGAAAATGGCCTGAGGATCCCAAC